TAATTAAACCAAACGATGGCTTAAACCCCTGTAGAAATCAACACATCCGGTTTAATCACCTTCTTAAGCTAGCACAAGACTGCAATTCTACGGAGAGGGGTTCTTTATTTCTTTGGATCGTTAAGAGGAACTGCATATCTTGAGCTTGATTTTAGTCCAGATGCTCCTGGGGAGAGGTGATGAGGGTCCGGGCGGGGTGGGGGCTCAGAAAAGAGAAAAGAAATAATAAAATGTTATTCGAGATCATCTCTTCTTCCCATCCGCCCCAGCCCAGCCGAGTCTCTCCCTCCCTCCTGCCTCTGTCCGCCTGGCGGTGAAGGCGCCCGCCCTCCCAGCACCCAGGCGGAGGCGCAGTGCTGAATGTGCTAAATTAGGCCATTAGAGAAATTCATTTCTCTTTATTAGTCTGTGTCAAATCCTTTTTATTAGTGGCTGGAAACGACCTCTCTTCTGCAGTAAAATGTCATGCCAGTTCACTCCTTTTATTTGTTCTGCACTGACGAGGCTCCAACTCTCACTGAATTAGTGCAGTGAGATTTATTTCCTCCAAATTTTGAACGGCTTAAGAGAGATTGAGGTGGAGGGGGCGGTCACACGGGAGGTGACATGGTGGGGAGAAGAGCAGAGAAGGGATCTGGGAGGGAGAAGGTGAGTTCTTATGGAGGTCAAATGTCCTCGGCTCGCTGGAAATAAAGTCTAATGACCATCTCTCATATCTTGTTCATCGTCTTCTGGGGCCTGGATTTCCACATCCCTGCTCGAGGCCCCTGAAGGATGTGGCTCCTCAGGGGAAGAGAGCTGGACAGCGGGAAGAAGAGCTCCTTAAAAACCATTTTCTAGATGGACAAACTGAGGCTCAGGGAAGGCCAAGATCCCACATCTAAATGGAAATCCTCCTCCTTACCCCATCCCTGGCTTGGATAGGGCCACTTATGTCCCAAGTGGCTTAGAAGCCAGCTCTTGTGGACACTGCCCTATTCAGGTGGCAGCTAAAGCTGCTGGAGAGGACCTCTTGATGGTGGCTGCTGGCCTCACCGCCTGCTTTATGGGGTGATGTTGGAAGGTAGCTTAGAAAATATAGGTCAGCCCTTAGGCAGTCACAGACTGGGCACCTGAGGAAGGGCAGGGGACTCTCCCATAACTGGGCTGGACACAGCCTTAGAGAAGCCCAGGCCTGTGCTGCAGCCCCAGAACTCAGCTGAGTCACTGGGAAATCCAGTTCTTCCAGGCAGCACGGTGTCTCAGCCGTCCCTGCATTCAATGCAGCAGGTGGCAGGTGTATCAAGTGGATAGAGCATGGGAACCACAGGCAGCCCCACTGGGCGTGGCCGTGCTTCATTGGAAAGGCTGTGGGTTAGATGAGACCCCACCTGAGCTCAGTGAGACGGACAGGGCTCCCGGATGGGTGGGAGGAAGCAGGAGGCTGGGGAGGATGGGGCATGAGAAGTTGCTCTGGCAGCTGGCGGTGCTCACTGCCCTCCCACCCCGACTGCCCAAGCCTCAGGCTGGGGGAGCTGGTGAGAGGGGCCCAGACCTGCACCGGCGAAGTCTGCCCTGTACCCCATGGACGCCACTTAACTTGGAGGGAAGGATGGGCAGCATGTTCTCTTCTTCTGAGAGATAGCAGGAGCCCCAGATATGCACCCGTCAACACACATGTACTTGTTCTAGGGACATCTGGCACCTGGGAGTGAACGAGGTTTATAAAACCATGCTGAGGCTCTGCATAGAAGGTGCACGTGGTTCCCCAGCGTACATGACAATGCCCACCCCCCACACCCCAAGCCCACCTCTGTCTGAGGCCTGTGAGCATCTCCTGACCTGACCCCTGCTGCCTTTTCAGCCTCATCTCCTTCATTCTCCTCCTGCCTACCTGGCTGCGCCACACTCAGCTAGCTAGATTTGGCTCCAGAAATATGCCAGGCTCATGTTCTGTCTCAAGCGATCCGCTTTCTCTCCTGCTTGGAATGCCTCTCCCTCAGCTCTTTGCGACAGTGCCTCATCATTTGAGGCTTAACGTAAATGTCACCTCCTCAGAGAGGCCTTCCTTGACTGCTCTAAGAAAAGCTGCTCCTCCCTGCAGGGGCAAGGACAGAAGCAGAGGAGCCACCCTCCTCTCCCCACCCAACCCTAGTGCCACGGCAGATCCCTCTTCCCCAGCCCACATGCCACTCGCTCTGTGTGCACAGAACACACCATCCCAGCACACATATTGCATACAGCTAACACAGAGCACATGCACACACTATGTTCACAGCACACAAATTTGGCACCACTGTTGCATACACACAACCCATATGTGTGCGTGTACCACATAAACACAACAGTGTGTGTGCTAACAATGAAAACACACAGGACAGCACACAACACTCACCCTTGCTCTCTTCGACACCCTGCATTCAACCCGGTACACACACGTGCACACGCACGCACATGCACGCGCACATACACCCCGTCCCCTCCCTCCAACCAGTGAGAAAGGAATGTGCGGTGACCGCGGCTGCCGCGCAGTTGGGGCGGGGGCTGCGCCCCCACCACCTGGCACGATGCTGCAGATTATTAGTTCCTGGTAATTTAGTGCCCTTGTACAGAGTCGATTTGTGCCTTTCATTCCTAATTGATCTAGTGGCTGTTTAAATGGCAGCAGGCATCTGTTGAGAGTAGGAAGGTTCATAAGGCGCAATAATTCATAACACCGTCTGGAATTTGCCTTTCCTGTCCCTCAGCTAAGCCACTGCAGGGCTCTGCTTAAATTACAGCCGCCGAGGCTTTCTTTGGTATTCCACTCAGGGCCAGGAGAATCTTGCATTAAACTGGGATCAGGTTAGATTAGACTATAATATGCTGCAGTATTAGTGGCTGCAAATGAAGACTTATACTGGAGTTTAACCCCTTCACCCGGGTTTCCCTTTGTCTTCAGCCGGATGGCTAAGCTAACCCATTCTTTTCCCTACTAGTTTTCTACCGGGGCTCAGTAGATCTTATGGCAATTTGGGGCTGCACATAGGCCATCCTTAAATATTGACCCTTCTTCCCGCAGACTGCACACCCAGAGCCTGTAGCCTTGGGGCCCGGGAGTTTCTGCATCAGCTTCCAAGACAGGGGTCGGGGAGATAGTGCCCAGGGGCAGGCTCTGCCAAGCAGCAGCTCATCTGATACAGGGATTTATCTCCCTTCATCACCCACTACCCCTGAGCCCCAGTACAAAGACCTGTAAAATGTGGGTGTGAGTGTGGATGGGGGTAAGCGCTTTCTGTCTTTTTGCCCAGAATTATTAAAATTCCAGCATGGGACAGACTCACGGGCATTCCCCCACCCCCTTTGCAAACGCTATGTAAGCTAGATGTTTGGTCCTTCGCTCAGTGTGTTCAGTCTCAGTGTGCTGGCGGGAAAAGCATGGTCTGTTTTCCTTTTCAAGACTTACTGTGTTCTCCAATATAGTAGCCACTAGCCACATGTGGCTATTTAAATTTAAATTAATTCAAATTTAATTTAATTTAATAAAATTAAAAGTTCAGTGTCCTTGTTACAATAGCCATATTTCAAGTGTTCATTGGCCTCACATGGTTAGCGGCTACCACGCTGGCCGTTGGAGATTGCAGAACATGCCCATCATTGCAGAAAGTTCTATGGAACAGTGCTGGCTAGAGCATCTCCTTTGGCAGAGGTCTGGGGATTAGGTCCAAAGTACATTCCTCCTCCTCTCCCAGTAAGCGGGGCTGAAGCAAAAAGAAAAGAGCTAAATTTTATAGTCCCAGAAGTGTGAGGAGACAGACCAGAGAGGAATGTGCAGATGCCTATTTGGAACCACAGTGGAAGGGACTGGGACTCTCCAGAGTCCAATGTCAACAACCCATGCACACACATGTGCACGTGCTGCAGAAATAAATATGTCATGCACTTATCCATGCAAATAGGCATGCACACATACATTCGACAGATGCTGATTGAGATCCACATGCCTTTGCTAGACTTTGGGCCCAGTGATGAAGAAGGTGGGCTGGATTCCTGCCCTCACATAGCTCACAGTCTAGTAAGGAAGGCAGATGAGAAAACAAAAAACTCAGGGGCTATCAGCTTAAGTTGTTGGGGGAACAGTGAGCAAAGCTCACAAAAGTTGGTGATATCCAAGCTGAGATCTGTAAAGCCACAGAGATAAGCACTTTAGCTCGCATATATGTGTCATAGAACTGCACACATGCACGTTCACACTCTCCCTTCATTGATTCATTCAGTCAGCCACCAAATATTTATTAAGTGCCTACCATGAGCATGTGGCAAGGCTTAGGGATACCATGATCATTAGGTCAGGTAGAGTCTTGAAGGAAGCAGTGAACAAATAATGGTGCAAAACATCATTTAGTTACACTTGTGCTAAAGGTGTAACAGTGGAAAAGCACAGAGAAAGGTTGCACGTGTACTTGGGGTGTCTGACCTAACTGAGTCTGCCCCAGGCTCAGGACAGGTGGAGACATCTGCCCACCGGGTATGGACGAGTGTTCGGGCTCACACACATCCCCCGCATACACTCGCAAGCACACGGTGTTTGTGCACATCTGCTGCCCTCGGCTGGCTCCAGACAGCCAAAAACGGGTCTGCCTAACAGTAACGTCCCCGTCCAGGACTTCTCTGGACACTTCCCACATTTCCTTCCTGGGTTGACTCTGAGCCAGAAATGGACACTGACTTCTTTGAAGGGTTGTAACCCATCTTCTCTCTCCAAATAGCCATGCAGCTCATCTGACCAAAGAGAAAAGGTGGGCGCCCAGGGAGCAGGGACACGAGCCCTCTGAGCCCCAGGAACTGGGTCATTGGACCCTTCATGCCAGGGCAGGAAATGCCGCCATCTAGACTGACCGTGGGGATGGGGGAATGTTCTCAAGGAGTGGGACCTTGGGACAAGTGACGGGAATGTGGGAGAGGGAGCCTGGTGGCTTCTGGCCCAGCTAGCAGCACGGTCTCTGTGTGTGCGCATGTGTGAGCTCTTAATGTCCCCGCAGGCACCCTCTTTTCCCGCTCCTGACGCTGCTGTTTGAGAAATGTGAACAGGCCACGCAGGGCTCTGAGTGCATCACCTCCGCAAGCTTTGATGTGGACATCGAGAACTTTGTCCACCAGCAGGAGCAGGAGCACAAACCCTTCTTCAGCGATGACCCAGAACTGGACAATCTGGTAAAGACCCTCCACCCTCTACCCTGGCTAGAGTCTTCCTACCCTTTGATTCCCCCCCCCAATGCCCTACAAATGACCCTTTCATTAATTCATTCAACAAACAGTTCTGAGTGCTGACCATGGGGCAGGTGCTAGATGCGCCATATTGGAAGCCAAGAACCATTTTTAAGTTCCTTAAACCAAGCGTTCCATGCAGCGCAGGCTTTACTGCCAACGTTCTCCCCGTCTACACCCAGGGCGGCACAGCGTCCTACTACCCATCTCTTGTAATGCAGACAGGAAGACAGGACAGTTGTAGCAGCCAGCATGTCTAGAGTAGCTGTTCTGAGGCCTGGAGTCCTGGCGTGTTAGCGAATCTGTCTTGGGCTGCCCAGAGAGGAGCTGATGGTTGGCGTGCTACCATGTGGAGGATGTAGGTAACAGACATGTTCAAACATGTCAATAGAGAGAAAGACATGACATAGGCATGTTGAGAAGACCAGCAGAGGACCTGCCCACTTAGGAGGACTCAGTACAGCAGGTTCCCAAACCCAGTTTGTCACCCAGATCATCACTACAGTTTTATAAAATCCATATTTCTGGGCCACAACACCTGGAAATTGTGATTTTACTGGTTTGGTGGGAGCCTGTGAATGTACATTTTAAAAAGTTTCCCAGGCAGTTGCAATCCTCAATTAGGTTAGGAGACCACTGGGTTGGATGACATCTGAAATTCTCATCTAGCCCTGGGAGTTCTGCTGAGGGAGAACAACAGAGGGGCTGCTCTGTTTGTTCGTCACCCTGGTCATCCTGGAGTTATTAACCCCAATTCTAGATTTTTCTGTGGGTGGATTACCCAGATTATGCATGGTGAATTTGGAAGCTTGGGAAAGCTGTCCCCCTCAAATTGATTGATTATGGTGCTGACCTCTTGCATCCGGAGTTTGGCCAGTACCTGCTCCCAAAAGGGAAACGGAATTAGAAAAGCAAATGTGGTCCCAAAAAGGAAGGAAGAAAAAATGTGCACACACACCACAGGCATCTGCAGAACAGATGTAAGTGACTTTGGTGTTATTTCGTGCTATGAATTATCCACACCACTGCTTCTGTCAAGAGTTGAATATGGTACTTCATGGAGTCCAAGGAGAGCCTGCCCTGGACTGGGAAGCCGGGCAGTGTCATGATGGGCTGGTGTCTAGAGAGCGGAGCAGGCCTTGGCCAGAGGATAAGCATTTGCCCGTTGTCAGGGGTGTTTAGTGGAGGCATCTGAGAGTCCAAAATCCACCTCTGCTTGTCCCTGGGCTGGGGTTCAGTAGGCCCCCTTCCTAGGAGGCTGGGCCACCATCTCTCGAGTCCCCTGGGAATCCCCATGCAGGTTCTCCAGTTGGTCGAGTATTAAGTGCAGGCTGGTCTGGCCCTGCCCTCGTCTTTGGCTGACCAGAATCATAGACTCCACTTGGGAAGCAGATTCTTAGAACCCAGACCCTTGGCAGCCAGGGAGCCAGGAGATGAGGCAGCCATATCTGCGGGAGCTGGAGTAGACCTGGGGGTGCCAGGGCCCACTCCCCTTACTTGACACAAAAAGGAACTGCGGCCTAACTTGGTAAGGAAATACCTAAAATTAGACTGAGTAATGTGAAAGAATTCAAACCTTCATAAGAGGTAGGAGTCCTAGGGAAACAAACCTCAAATGCCTTGCCCACCACCTGCCAGTGAGCTATGGAAGACCCACTGAAGGCAGCCTCCCATTCTAGCACAGCCTGGAAAATTCCCAGGTGGCCAGCTCCATGCTTTTCCACTTGCCAACACTGCCTGGGTCTCTCAGGGTTCTGTTCATTTAAAGAATCAGATCTCTTGAATCAATCCAACAGAACTTGGCTGTCTGCCACGTGCCAGGCCTGAGCCAAGGACATGGATGTAGTAGAAGCCACCTTAGTGGCCCCAGACCACTGGTGTTCCCTGGCCTTCTATCTCAGGTGACTGGGCTGGGAGTGGTCCAGCTAGTGAGCAATCCTTGGACATTCCATCTACTCAGATGGACCTGATTTGTCTAGATGAGTTAGTAGCCACGGTCAATGACTAGTTGATGATTGATTGATGGATTGATTGATGATGTAAATGGAGAGATTTGGCAACGTGCCTAGAGAAAAAGACCTGAGCCTAGCTTCACCACTTACTCTGTGTGAGACTTGATGACTTAACTCCACTGAAGCTCGGTTTCCTCATCTGTAGACCTAATGCACCTATCTCATGTGATTGTAACAATGCCTGGCATCCAAAAAGTTAATCCTGAATGCAGTGTCTCTCCTGAAAGTTGTTCCAGCTTCCCAACCTCACCTCGGGACTGCCAAAGAGACTGAGTGGCCAGAACCCTGAAACTTTATTTGGGGAGTCAAGCAGTTCCCTTTGCCACAGCCCCCCACCCTGTCCTGTGTCAGGGTTGGCGGGTGAGGGGGAGATAAAGAGGCCAACCACAGGAGCCATCATTGGAACAAGAATCATGTAGCCAGCACAGCCGAGATGCACATAATTAGAAATTAGAAAAAGGTCAGATCACGTCATTATCAGCTCAATCAGCTGCCAAGTGCCACAGCCAGTTAATTTGGCATCTGTATTTTTTACAACCCCGCACACGTAGCCCAACGGACTGTAACTCTTTATCCGGACAGATATACTGCGCAGCCGAGCAGGGACATAAAATGAGAGACCCCAAGCAAATGAGCTGAGATAATTGAGAGATTTATTTTTTATATATATGTGTGTCAGGGAGGCTTTCCTTTGCCCTTGAATATTGACTTTCATAGGTGGGATTGTCAGGAAGGCACTTGGGTCCCCCAAAACTTTGCCCCTTGGAAGTTCACCTCCATTTCCAGGGCCCTGGAGCCCCACTCGGGCCCTGCCTTCTCCCAAGCCCGTGAGGCAGCAGCCTCTAACCTACCAGGGACGAAGAATCCTCCCATCCCAGCCAGCCACCCTCCTCTCCCCCAAGCAGATTGCCAGGTAGCACCCTTCTCTGCACCCCACAGTCTCCCAGAGCTGCCCCAAGGATGAGAGAGAGGGTCCCAGATTGTAGATTTCGGAGGGGACCTCCCTCCCTGGCTGACCAGTTGTGTCCCCATCACCCGCACGGGTACTGGGGGCAAAAGAAATCCCAGAACGTTAGGAGGGAAAACACAGCGCCAGGAACAGCAAGTCTTCCTCACCCGTCCCCTACCATTCTGTAGCCGGGGACGTAAGTCTGGGCAAGGAAGTCACTTGCCAGGACCAGAGCCCAGTGTGCTGACTCCAGAAATTGTGCTCCTTACGCTACCTCATTCCAGCAGTCTCCTCCCCGGTGGCAACAAAAATCCTCATTTACAAATAGAGTAGTGCCATCAAAACCTCTCCCCTGGCGCCCACACTCTGACCCCTCTACCTCCCCATTTCCGAGCGATAAGGGTGGCTTTCCGCCCTCACGGTGGCCACGCTGGAATGCCCCTCGCCAGCTCCCTTGGGGCAGGGTGGGCTCCGCTACTCTTCACGCCCCCCACTCCCATTCCCACGGCCACCGGGGACTCACCAGGCCTGTTTCTCAGCTGGCCCGGGGGTCCCTCCTTGGGCCCAGCAGCCTCTGACTGGCAGTTGGTAAAGTTTGTAAAATTTGCAAGTTCCCCAAACCCCTTTGAAAGGTAAAAGCTTTTTGTTTTATAAAATCTGATTTACGGGCCCCCAGTGCAGGGCCACGGTTTTATATATTATGCAAGATTTCAAACAGAGGCTGTAAAACGTACGGTTTCAGTTTCATGCATGGAATTTTTTTATGTGTAAATTTTTTAACATTTATGGGGCACGTTTTAATGAGACTCTGGTGTGGCTCGAGGGACAGATTATGGCTGCCTGACCGCAAAGCCAGCTCTAAAATGGGGCCCCCAGGCCCCTGGGCCCACTCTGAAGAGGTAGGGCCAGAGGCCAGAGGCTGTGAATTAGGAGGCGCATGAAGGAGCCGGGCCAGAGCCCTGGGCCCACCGAGACCTTGGGCCAGCCCCGTTCAGAGAGGTGCTCACTCCAGCCTTCAATCCAGACCCTCTGCCTAGATAGCAGCAGACGACCCCACAGACACCAGGACAGGGAAGGGAAATAAGAATAATCAACACTAATAATAATTAACATTTATAGGGCACTTACCAGGTGTCAGGTACTGTTCTCAACACTTTACATACATTATATTATTTAATCTTCTTTCCAAACCCACAAGGCACATATTATCACCCCCATTTTAAGATGAGGCAATCGAGATAAGAGGTGAAATTGCTAACACAAGATCACACAGCTGGTGCATGGCCCAAGCAGGACAAACACGGCACAGGACTCAAGATCCAGTGCTCACACTCGGAACAGTCACACCACCCTGTAACTAGTCTCTTCTTAGACCTTTTTATGGTCCAGGTCTTGTTTTTACTGTTTCCCAGTCACATCCCATTTAATCCTCTGCACAACTCTGAGGAGTCTCTATTATTATCCTATTTTACAGGTGAAGAAACTAAAGTTCAGAGATTATGTAAATTGCTCAAGGTCTCACCATAGGTGGCAGACCCTAGACTCTCAACCTCTAAAGCCCATTGTCCTTGAGTACCTTCGCTATTTAATTCTCACAGTAATCCTATGAGGTGGCTGTTGTTATCCCCATTTGACAGAGGGAAAAATCAAGGACGAGGAACCCTACAGCCAATAAGTCACATAGCTGGGATTTGAACCAAGTGGATCTAACTCCCAAAGCCTACCTTTCCCCCCCCCCATACCACGCTGCTTCTCCAAGTTCTGAGACCATCAGCAAGAAGCGTCAGGTTACTGACTCAAAAGTGATTTAACTTTTCTTGCAAGATGGTTTCCATAAAATGTTCATTCGACCCCCAATCATCTGGCAGTTCTCCAGTCCTTGGTACTCACCTTTTTCCATGTCCCAATTTTTGTTCTAGCATCTCCACTCTTGTCAGTGGTCAGGCCAAGCTGGCCTGGTCTGGAAACATTCCTGATTAGATTTTAGCTTTGGCTGCCCCAGTGACCCACAGGAAATATCAGAGCACATTAAAGAATGTGTGTTTATAAATTCCTCGTTCTGTCAGTGAGGGAGAATAGTTCCAGCTTCCCAATTTGCAGAAGAGGAAGGAGAGGGTAAAAGGAATTTACTCCCAAGGCAAGGATCCCTCCCTAATTCCTACGTGGAACTGAGTGGTTTACCTAATCTCTGAGCCTCAATTTCCTTATCTCTAGGAGAGAGATAATAGTGCCTGTGTCCCTGTGGTGATGAGACTCAAATGAGATAATGGAGAGAAAGCATTTTGTAAATCGTAAAGTCTTATGTGCGCAAATGTTTTGAAAGGCAAGGGATCATTATTATCAAGTGAAGAGGCCATGATCCTACAAGACCGGCAACTCTTTAGAGAGGCACCTGATGGAGGAAGGAGGGACGCATTGGCATGAAGGCTTGACATTTATTGAATAGCCATTATATGCCCCACACATGTACATACAAGATCTTATTCCATTTTCACAACAACTCTAAAGTGTAGATATTATTGTCATCCTAAATTTTATGTACAAATTCAAACCACTTGTCTAAAATAACCAGGCAGGAAAAAATAGACTTGAGACATCACACCATGTGACTTTATAAAAAATAAGAAACCCTGGTCTTGTGTACTTTCCTGGGACTACAGGACTTGTATACAGTGGATGAAACTAAAAATGTGAGGTTGCATCTGGTTTTGCTTTTTTGAAGGGGACTTCTTAGGAGAACAGGGATGGAGGCTTTATTTTGAAAGAGAAAGGAGGGAGAAAAGCTGACAGATGAAGCACATCCTGGGGAAAGGAATGAAACATACATTTGGTGATGAGATAAATTAAGTGGCATTGTTATTGCTCTAAAAGATTTGGAATAACTTTTCACATGACCCTGATAATTTAGAAAAATGGTTTCATAAATCACAATTTTCTTAGAGGCAAAAATCCAAAATTGTAACACATAGGATAGAAGATGATTTACTAAATACAAATATGGAAAGAAAAAAAAACCCTGGGAATTATTATTTTTTTCACTAGCCAAATATAGCAGTAGAAAAGCCAATGGGATCTGTTGGTTTACTGCAGTTTATAAAGCACTTCCACATTATCATCTCCTGTAGCCCCTATCAAATCTCATGAGTTAGGGATATCATTAGCCCCATTTTACAAACGAGGAGACTGAAGCTCAGAGAAGTCACAGAATTTGCCCAGTGGCACCAGTTAGCAGTAGTGGGCCTGGACTCCAAGCCAGGCTGTCTCACAGTGAACCCCACAGGCTTTCTGCCCTGCAAGGCAGCTTCCCTGCATTGCCCATCTTTCTCTCTAATATTGAACAGGTTCTACATATTCATTGCCTTGGAATACCATTATGATTTACTCTGCCTTTTTAAATCTTTAAACCAATTCTATCAGCCCATAAAAAAGTAATCCTTCAGCTGTGCTTTATTAGACCAAAGGGTAGGTCCACTTTTGGCCACTGTGCACCAGATCTGGTTTAAACACACTGTGTGTATATTTCATTTGAGCAAAGCTATTCTGGGTAGATTCTACTTTTTATTTTGTTTTGTTGATCTGTATTTTCTGATTTTTGTAAGTACATATTGGTTATGTATTTAAAATAAATGAATAGATACCGTGTTTCCCCGAAAATAAGACAGGGT